CAGAAGCCCTTTGAATCAGTACACCTGGGGCACTTCAACCTACTTGGAGGTTCATGGTACTTCTTGACTATTTTCTAATTGGTTTTAGGGGCTTAGCAGGGTTTACTTAAAGGTTCATGGTACTTCTTGACCAATTGTAGCTGTACTTATAACCCATATTGGGGCACTTGAGGGGCTTATAAGTCTATAAGTAGAGTTACAACTTTTGTTGATAAGTACCATGAACCTCCAAGTTGTACGGCGACTGTCCACCAGGATCCGCTAAGTAGATGACGAAGAGAAGCCGCTTCAGAATCGCCCTTCCACAACACCTGAATCTGGAAGAGTTGGTGATCCGATTTCGATCCGATGCTGGTACTGAGCGAGTTCTGGTAGCAGCCTTTCAACATCTGTGCACAACGGTGTCCAATCCGCACGGGCTCTGAGCGTGCACGGCCCCGCGCGGCTCTTCGGCGACTGTCCGCGAAGCCCGCTACCACCCAGCCCTACTGCCAATGTCTAAATGTATTATCATTTTTGTTTATTTATTCTTATTCTTATTCTTATTCTTATTCTTATTCTTATTGTAATTAATGATATGATATAAGTTGATTATATACGGGTCCACCGATCTCCTGCCCGCGTTAAAATGGCTAAGTACCGCCCTCAGCGTAACTTCGTGTTATGGTTTGGGCTCTTGGGGGGGCGGCTCTCGGCTTTTGAGCGTTTCTTCCCTTGTGCAACCTCGGGCAGGCTAGAGCTGTGAGCTCAGCGCCGAGGAGTGTAAAGCCCTCGGACGAGGCAAACGCTGGGCACGTTCAGGCAACCTGCATAATCCCAGCTGTTCGCATCCTTTGCAACAGAAAAGAAGCGAGGAGAAAGTAGAAAAATCGGCAGAAAGCCCGCACAAAGCCAGGCTTTGGCTGCCTTCAGGAGGCTTTACCCTATCCTCCACACGACGGCTGCTAGAAGTCTCTGAGGATCATGACTCCGCCTACACTACAGCGCCGAAACTACAGATGCTGCTATGCTCTCTACCCGAACCACCCCAGACCCCAAGCCCTGAACCCGAAACTCTGAATCCACCATAATTGACACCCCCTCAGATTGGAATTTGCACCCCCCCCCCCCCCCAAAAAAAAAAAAAAAAAAAGCCGCGGCCCCTGGAATCATCCCAATATGGCAAACAAACTTTGAGGAAAGCCTACCTTGGACTTCCAGCAACTCATCGGTGCGATGTGCAAGGACTCCAGTGCCTCACATTTGGGGGGGAAGGCCAATTTTGCCATCTGAACTATTAGGCTTCCTGCGCAGTATTGTCTCAAGGTATCTTGGGGACCCATACCCCACCTTTCAAATGTGCAGCTCGGAGCTCATTCAAATGTGCAGCTCAGAGCTCAGAAGGCAACTCGCAGGGCAACCTGCATCGTGGCCAAGCTCAGGAGACTGATGGATGCCGCATCGGAGGTAGACTCCGGCGGAGCAATCAGTTCGCAAGTGGATCCGATTTTTTGGAAGCACACGCCGTCCGATATCAGGACGTACCCGCAACAAACATCCGGGTTGCAGAGGCTGCAGCAGGCCTCCCAAGACATGACTGACTGCTGGGTGGTCTCTTCTCCTGTCCAGCCAACGTTTGCGCCTGCAACAAAGGTTCCTGAACATTGGCTGGTCTGGCTGACCAGACCAGCTCCGACAACGAATGGTGTGGTTGTTGAGGCTGCTGGCGAGCCGCTTCCACATGTCGTTCCGGCGCAATTGAAAGGAGCTTGCCCAAAAGTGGCCAGCGCCGTCTCAACAGCTGACGTGCAGCAAGCCCCGGGGAAGCAAGCCATGTAGTCCTGCACGTACTGGCACGTGGTGTCCACATTTCCATCCGTGGGCATTGACAGTTGTTGCATGCATGTTGCTGAAGCCATGACCGCATCAGCGGTACATCCGCTGTCACCTGTGTTGCTGCCGCCTGTGTTGCTGTTACCTGTGTTGCTGCTACTTCCACATGTCGTTCCGGCGCAATTGAAAGGAGCTTGTCCAAAAGTGGCCAGCGCCGTCTCAACAGCTGACGTGCAGCAATCCCCTGGGTAGCAAGCCATGTAGTCCTGCACGTACTGGCACGTGGTGTCCGCATTTCCACCCGTGGGCACTGACAGTTGTTGCATGCATGTTGCTGCAGCCATGACTGCATCTGCATCACATGCCCCAGCGACGTCTTGTGGCATCCACGAAGTGAGGACCATGATCAAGAGGAGATGTCGGGACATGCTGTCAAGCACTGCTTCCGCAACAGGAAAGCAAATTGGGTGACAAGCTTGGACCTTGAGACCTACGATCACGGGACCGACATGCAGGAACCCACAGAATGGGTGTGCCCCCCCCCCCCCCCCCATGTTGGATTTAAGGGTTTAGGGCTTAGGGGGTCACAAACCTCCAGCATCCCGCTGCGATTTCTCACAGCACGTGGTCATCGACAGAAGCCTTTTGAGTCAGTACACCTGGGGCACTTCAACCTACTTGGAGGTTCATGGTGCTTCTTGACTACTTTCTAAATGGTTTTAGGGGCTTAGCAGACTTTACTTAAAGGTTCATGGTACTTATTGACCAATTGTAGCTGTACTTATAACCCATATTGGGGCACTTGAGGGGCTTATAAGTGTATAAGTAGAGTTACAATTTTTGTTGATAAGTACCATGAACCTCCAAGTTGTACGGCGACTGTCCACCAGGATCCGCTAAGTAGATGACGAAGAGAAGCCGCTTCAGAATCGCCCTTCCACAACACCTGAATCTGGAAGAGTTGGTGATCCGAATTTGATCCGATGCTGGTACGAGAATGAGCGAGTTCTGGCAGCAGCCTTTCAACATCTGTGCACAACGGTGTCCAATCCGCACGGGCTCTGAGCGTGCACGGCCCCGCGCGGCTCTTCGGCGACTGTCCGCGAAGCCGGCTACCACCCAGCCCTACTGCCAATGTTGATGATGATGATGATGATGATGATGATTATTATTGTTGTAATTAATGATATGATACAAGTTGATTATATACGGGCCCAGCTCCTGCCCGCGTTATAATGGGGGCCGGAGCGTCGCTCACCAGGGCATAGGCCCATATGAGGGCGTGGCGGGTCTCCAAGGGTACGGCAAAGACATCGCCCGGCCGCATTAAGCTAAGACCATGCCAGAGGCCATATACCTATGCATGGAACCCTACAAGCACTAAGCCCTAAAGCACTCCAGCTACACCTTCTAAGTACCGCCCTCAGCGTAACTTCGTATTATGGTTTTGTTGGGCTCTTGGGGGGCGGCTTTAGGCTTTTGAGCGTTTCTTCCCTTGTGCAACCTCGGGCAGGCTAGAGCTGTGAGCTCAGCGCCGAGGAGTGTAAAGCCCTCGGACGAGGCAAACGCTGGGCACGTTCAGGCAACCTGCATAATCCCAGCTGTTCGCATCCTTTGCAACAGAAAAGAAGCGAGGAGAAAGTAGAAAAATCGGCAGAAAGCCCGCACAAAGCCAGGCTTTGGCTGCCTTCAGGAGGCTTTACCCTATCCTCCACACGACGGCTGCTGGAAGTCTCTGAGGATCATGATCCCGCCTACACTACAGCGCCCTACAGATGCTGCTATGCTCTCTATTCGAACCACCCCAGACCCCAAGCCCTGAACCCGAAACTCTTCTGAATCCTACCCCCTCAACCTGCCACCATAATTGACACCCCCTCAGGGTGGAATTTGCAGCCCCCCCCCCCCCCAAAAAAAAAAAAAAAAGCCGTGGCCCCTGGAATCATCCCAATATGGCAAACAAACTTTGAGGAAAGCCTACCTTGGACTTCCAGCAACTCATCGGTGCGATGTGCAAGGACTCCAGTGCTTCACATTTGGGGGGGGAAGGCCAATTTTGCCATCTGAAGTATTCGGCTTCCTGCGCAGTATTGTCTCAAGGTATCTTGGGGACCCATACCCCACCTTTCAAATGTGCAGCTCGGAGCTCATTCAAATGTGCAGCTCAGAGCTCAGAAGGCAACTCGCAGGGCAACCTGCATCGTGGCCAAGCTCAGGAGACTGATGGATGCCGCATCGGAGGTAGACTCCGGCGGAGCAATCAGTTCGCAAGTGGATCCGATTTTTTGGAAGCACACGCCGTCCGATATCAGGACGTACCCGCAACAAACATCCGGGTTGCAGAGGCTGCAGCAGGCCTCCCAAGACATGACTGACTGCTGGGTGGTCTCTTCTCCTGTCCAGCCAACGTTTGCGCCTGCAACAAAGGTTCCTGAACATTGGCTGGTCTGGCTGACCAGACCAGCTCCGACAACGAATGGTGTGGTTGTTGAGGCTGCTGGCGAGCCGCTTCCACATGTCGTTCCGGCGCAATTGAAAGGAGCTTGCCCAAAAGTGGCCAGCGCCGTCTCAACAGCTGACGTGCAGCAAGCCCCTGGGTAGCAAGCCATGTAGTCCTGCACGTACTGGCACGTGGTGTCCACATTTCCATCCGTGGGCATTGACAGTTGTTGCATGCATGTTGCTGCAGCCATGACCGCATCAGCGGTACATCCGCTGTCACCTGTGTTGCTGCCGCCTGTGTTGCTGCCGCCTGTGTTGCTGTTACCTGTGTTGCTGTTACTTCCACATGTCGTTCCGGCGCAATTGAAAGGAGCTTGTCCAAAAGTGGCCAGCGCCGTCTCAACAGCTGACGTGCAGCAATCCCCTGGATAGCAAGCCATGTAGTCCTGCACGTACTGGCACGTGGTGTCCACATTTCCATCCGTGGGCATTGACAGTTGTTGCATGCATGTTGCTGCAGCCATGACCGCATCAGCGGTACATCCGCTGTCACCTGTGTTGCTGCCGCCTGTGTTGCTGCCGCCTGTGTTGCTGTTACCTGTGTTGCTGTTACTTCCACATGTCGTTCCGGCGCAATTGAAAGGAGCTTGTCCAAAAGTGGCCAGCGCCGTCTCAACAGCTGACGTGCAGCAATCCCCTGGATAGCAAGCCATGTAGTCCTGCACGTACTGGCACGTGGTGTCCACATTTCCATCCGTGGGCATTGACAGTTGTTGCATGCATGTTGCTGCAGCCATGACCGCATCTGCATCACATGCCCCGGCGACGTCTTGTGGCATCCACGAGGTGAGGACCATGATCAAGAGGAGATGCCGGGACATACTGTCAAGCACTGCTTCCGCAACAGGAAAGCAAGTTGGGTGACAAGCTTGGACCTTGAGACCTACGATCACGGGACCCACATGCAGGAACCCACAGAATGGGTGCCCCCCCCCATGTTGGATTCAACAGGGCTCAGGTCTTAGGATCCCTAAACCCTAAACCCTAAACCCTAAACCCTGGCTTAGGTCTTCTGGGCTCGGGTCCTTTCATGTCGTTCAGCGCCTCATTGATGAAGAACGCCTCCTCCACCACAGGTCCAATTGCCGACGTGAAGTATCGCAGGTGCCGATCAAACTCGTCGTTGTTCAGCCTCGGAAAGCTGGGGACCTCCGAAAATGCTTTTTTTTTTTTTTTTTTTTTTGGGGGGGGGGGCTTCTTTGGGGCTTCCTTGCATACGGCAGACAGTATGTAGATCGTGTCTGCTCTCCAGGTCTTTTCTTTGCGGAGGCGTTCCCCTTTTAGGGGGAAATACCCAGCGGGAACAAGAGAACCGCGAGGCGGATCGTCGATTCTTGACGTCTCGTCTCGTAGTACTAGCTCTCGGACTAGGGCTTTTGTTCCTAAACCCTAAGCCCTAAGCCCTAAGCCCTAAACCCTAAACCCTAAACTCTAGACTCTGAACCCTGTGCATGCAAGAGTCTTCGCATTGAACCTCGACATGACATCGGCCAGCGCTTCGAAGAACCACTTCCGCTGCGACTTCCACTCAGCGACCTGCTCGGACCGGGCTCGTGTCTGAGATTTGTTGTTTAGGGTTTAGGGTTTAGGGTTTAGGGTTTAGGGTTTAGGGTTTAGGGTTTAGGGTTTAGGGTTTAGGGTTTAGGGTTTAGGGTTTAGGGTTTAGGGTTTAGGTTTTAGGGTTTAGGGTTTAGGGGTTTTTAGGGTTTAGGGTTTAGGGTTTAGGGTTTAGGGTTTAGGGTTTAGGGGGTTTAGGGTTTAGGGTTTAGGTGTTTAGGGTTTAGGGGTTTAGGGTTTAGGGTTTCAGGGTTTAGGGTTTTAGGGTTTAGGTTTAGGGTTTAGTGGGAGTATAGGGTTTAGGGGTTTAGGTTTAGGGTTTAGGTTTAGGGTTTAGGGTTTAGGGTTTAGGTTAAGGGTGTAGGGGTTTAGGGTTTTAGGGTTTAGGGTTTATGGTTTTAGGGTTTAGGGTTTTGAGGGTTTCGGGTTTAGGGTTTTTAGGGTTTAGGGTTTCGGTTAGGGTTTGGTTTATGGTTTTAGGTTTAGGGTTTAGGGTTTAGGGTTTAGGGTTTAGGGTTTAGGGTTTAGGGTTTAGGGTTTAGGGTTTAGGGTTTAGGGTTTAGGAAGCGCCAGGCTTTTGCGCGATCCCACCCCGGGTTCCGCTACGTCCCGGGCATGGCCCGAGCCACTCGAGCCAGCACGATCCGAGTAGGGTCTTGGGATTTTGGGGTTTAGGGTTTAGGGTTTTGGGATTTTGGGGTTTAGGGTTCTGGGATTTTGGGGGGTGAAAATCGCAGTATTGGGACCCTGAGGGTATATTTGTTCGTAGTTCTTCCGACCCCCATGTTAGCCCCCCCCACCCCCCACCCCCCTCCCGCCTGCTCCGTTTCCTCGCCGGGCTTGGAGCCTTGGCTTTTGCGAACCGCACGGCTTTGGGAGCAGAGGCACTTAGGGCTTCTGTCTGTCTCTTTCATGGGGCTAGCAGAACCCTAAACCCGAAACCCTAAACCCCAAACCCTAAAAACCCTAAAAAACCCTAAAAACCCTAAAAACCCTTAAAACCCTAAAACCCTAAAAACCCTAACAACCCTAAAAACCCTAAAACCCTAAAAACCCTAACAACCCTAAAAACCCCAAAACCCTAAAAACCTGAAAACCCTAAAGAACCCTAAAAACCCTAAACAAAACCCAAAAACCCTAAACCCCATAAACCCCAAACCCCTGCGGCCGAAGCCGCTCTTCTGGCCATTCTTCTTCCAGTCCCCGAAGTCCTTGGAGTTCCTCTGAATGACGGTGAGCCTGCCAAGTGAGCATCGCGTTCCCGTTTTGGTTTAGGGTTTAGGATTTAGGGTTTAGGGTTCAGGGTTCAGGGTTCAGGGTTCAGGGTTCAGGGTTCAGGGTTCAGGGTTCAGGGTTCAGGGTTCAGGGTTCAGGGTTCAGGGTTCAGGGTTCAGGGTTCAGGGGTCAGGGTTCAGGGTTCAGGGTTCAGGGTTCAGGGTTCAGGGTTCAGGGTTCAGGGTTTCAGGGTTCAGGGTTTAGGGTTTAGGGTTTTAGGTTTTAGGGTTTATGGTTTAGGTTTAGGGTTTAGGTGAGGGTTTAGGTTTAGGGTTTTCAGGGTTTAGGGTTTAGGTTTGGTTTAGGGTTTAGGGTTTAGGGTTAGGGGGTTTTTAGGGTTAGGGTTAAGGGTTTAGGGTTTAGGTTTTAGGTTTAGGGTTTAGGGTTTTTTCAAGGGTGTAGGGTTTAGGTTTAGGGTTTGGGTTAAATGTTTTAGTGTTTTTAGGGTTTAGGGTTTAGGGTTTAGGGTTTAGGGTTTAGGGTTTGGGTTTTAGGGTTTAGGGTTTTTAGGTTTAGGTTTAAGGTTTAGGGTTTAGGGTGTAGTGGGCTTTAGGGTTTAGAAGGGTTGAGGGTTGAGGGTTGAGGGTTGAAGGGTTGAGGGGTGAGGGTTGAGGGTTTGAGGGTTCAGGGTTTCAGGGGTTCAGAGGTTCAGGGTTCAAGGGTTCGGGTTCAGGGTTCAGGGTTTAGGGGTCTAGCACTGCCCTCCGCACTTTCCCCTGTGGCCCACATACCAAGTTTTTGGCCCCTTGCCTGCCATTTCTTTTTCCGTGGACTCCCTCCGACTGGATGCTAGATGCTTTCACTACGTGTTTTGCAATGGGCGCAGTGCTACATATATCTATATAATATACCCTATTATATACACATACATATATAATATGAATGGTATAAATAAATATCACATATATATATATCTAATATATTTTTCTATGTATAATGATTCACCCCGGCGGCCCCCCCCCCCCCTCCCCCCTACCCCCCCCCCCCCTCCCCCCCTACCCCCCCCCCCCCCCCCAATTTACCCCCCCCCCCCCCCTGTGGTGTGGTGGGGGGTTGGTTTTAGGGTTTTAAGGATTTAGGGTTTAGGGTTTAGGGTTTAGGGTTTAGGGTTTAGGGTTTTAGGGTTTTAGGGTTTTAGGGTTTAGGGTTTAGGGTTTACGGTTTAGGGCTTTAGGGTTTAGGGTTTAGGGTTTAGGGTTTAGGGTTTAGGGTTTTCCCCGCGGATGGGGTACTAAGATGATCCCCCCCCCCTGTGGTGTGGTTGGGGGTTGGTTTTAGGGTTAGGGTTTAGGGTTCAGGGTTTTAGGGTTTAGGGTTTAAGGTTTAAGACTTAAGGTTTAGGGTTTAGGGTTAGGGTTTAGGTTTTAGGTTTTAGGGTTTAGGGTTTAGGGTTTAGGGTTTAGGGGTTTAGGGTTTAGGGTTTAGGGTTTGGGGACCGTAGAGTAGACTTAGGGGGGGGGGGGATACCATGGGGGGGGGGGGGGGGCCCAGGACGCTCGACGCTGAACCATATATACGTATGTTGATGCACACCGTATGCAATAAATCTATGAAGAATGTAAACTGTGCATGTATATCTATGCAGATACACACACACACACACTCTCAAAGGCCCCTTGAGTTACCGAGCCGAAAAGTGGAGGCCCGGTTAAAACGACTTTAGCCGTAGTGTATCAAAACCAAATGAATCTTAGGCAGACATTCTAAGCTAGATGAACCCCCTAAACCTAAACCCTAAACTCTCAACCCTGAACCCTAAACCCTGGGCCCTAAAGATGAAGCTATGCTACTCCACACTTGAAGAAGCTTGCGGGCGCGGCTTTCCGGGCACTTCCGTCAGCGGGGACGGGTTGTTGCCCAGCTTTGTATACCTCATCTCCGTGGCTTCATGGGGCCCTCAGTTCGTCTGGGTCATTTCGACACCGATGTCCTAACACCTCAGAGACATCCCCAAAACAAAACATCCTGCAACTATCACGGGGGATTGAGGGGGTCCAGGATTCTTGCGTCTGCGTGTTTTTGAAGGTTTAGGTTTTAGGGGTTCATCAGGGTTGAGGGCTCAACAGGCCCCTGAACCCTAACAGCCTTGCAGTTCAAGCGAATCCGCCTGTCTTTAGGGAGCTTTGTGCACATGGGTCTCCCAGTATGGAGCGTGTAGAATCCTGGGGCCTGGTTAGTTAGAACGGCTTTCGATTTTGACGACATAGGGGTTATCTGAAAGCACGACCTGAAAACACGACATGCCGGAACCTAAGCTCCATGCCTCTTAAATCTCACACATGTCCGAACATTCCGACACGGCGCGAGTTGGACGACAGGTGCTTGTCACCTTAGCCATGGCTCTTCGGCACACGTAAGACTTCTGATTACCACAACTCCCGCAGTCCCTGTAGCCTAGCGAAACCGGAGATTCTAGTCTATCTCACAGAGTGGAGATGCCGAAGATTGCGGACTCTGTGTTCCCAGTATTCAAAAATGCAAAGTACTTGCAAGAGTTGGGCGTCGTGTACATAGTACAAATCTATGCAGAGCATCTACTTTATACAGTATGAAGAGTATACTGAGTATACAGAGGATACAGAGGATACATAGGATACGTAGGATACGTAGGATACATAGGATACATAGGATGCATAGTATAGTATAGCTATTTACAGTATGTATCATTGCACAAGCCGTATATCTATGTGTTCTATATATGTATATATACATATATACAGAAATACATAGATGAATTTGCTTTATATGAAATTGACACTGATTTGATCTGTACTGGCAAGGGAGCTGCTTTCCATACAATGAGCACACATTAACCAACTGATGAACAATAATCGCGCGACGAACCCTTACTCGTGCTGAGTCGTTCTCAAAGACTTCGACTTCCCAAGAGCTCACACATCAACGCCGCTGCGTGGCCGAGGACAATGTAGTCGACAACACCAGGGCTGTCCTTCTTGCAGTTGCCACTTTTGGCCTCAGCAGTCACGTTGCGCGCTAGATTCACTGCGGGGTAGGTTGAGCCTGACCACTGACAAGGTGCCAAGCGTAAGGATCCTGAAAACCTCCACAAAAAATTGCGGAGAGGGGCGGGGGGGGGTGGGGGGATTCCCACATTCCGTACGAAGAACCAGGGGGGGAAGAGGATTAAGTGGGCAGCAAACACAGCACCTTCCAGCAAAAAGTGGCACGTGAATACGTACTTCAAACCCGTGGTAAAAGCCGAGAAGCTGGATCACTGATAGGAACAAGGAATCATCAAGAACAAACAGAAACCCTCGCCAACTCTGCAGCTCACAACCGCCCTAAATCCTAAACCATCCTAAACCCTAAACCCTACAGTAAACCCTAAACCCTAAACCCTAAACCCTAAACCCTAAACCCTAAACCCTAAACCCCCCAAAATCCCCAGCCCTAAACCCCCTGAACCCCTTGAACCCCTTAAACCTAAGCATTGCACCTTGAGGCATCGCCCCCAGAGGCGCTCCGCCCAGTACCAGTCGGGCCCTGGAGGCTTTCGAAGGCCCTAAACCCTAAACCCCAAACCCTAAACCCTAAACCCTAAACAAAAACCCCTCGTGAAAGGGCTCAAGGGTTTAGGGGCTTAAGGGCTTAGGGCTTTTGGGTTGTGAGTGACTAACACTGGTCACGCCGCGGCGGACTTTTTCCAGCTACCGACATGGCTAGGACGCGGAGTTAGGCTGGGCTTTCTAGCGGGGTGGAACGCGGTCCCGGATAGTCCTCCTGGTGCAGATGCACGGCTTACCCGTCGTCGAGAGGGGGGGGGCGCCGGCTCCAGTACCGGTTTGAGTGGCTAGCACGGGCCACTATGTCGCAGGTTTCGCCCTGAGGTACGGCATGTTTGCCCTTGTACGAAGAGTCCTTCATAGGAATCCCAATCGGGGGTACTATAGGACTGTTCGTATAAGGGGGAAACATCCCAAGCTGCATGTCAACCTCTACACTCGGCCTTCTATGGAGCTCTTCACACTCGCCTACGTGCTTGGTAGTGCCGCAACACGGGAGAATTTCACAAGGGTTCAGGGCTCATAAGGGCTTGAGGGCATGAGGGTTAAGAGGCCCAGAGGCATGCGTAACTATGCAGGGTTGTTCATGAATTCAGGTGTACTTCCTCAGTCGAGGCAAAGCAGGCTCCAGGACTCAAAATGTTAGCCAAGTCGACTGAGGAGCGGATGGAGGGAATAGGGTTTCGGGCCGAATCCCCCTGCCCTGAACTGCGACCTCATCAGGACCCTCAAGGGCCCCTCTAGGTCGACGTCACAGGCACGTCGCCCGACGCGCAACGCACGGAGCGCGAGTCTAAGCCGCCAGCGCAACATATGCAGGACCCATGACCCATGAGCCCCCCCAGGCAAAGCCCCTTCAAGCTCATCGACACCTCCAACCTCGAAGGCCGAAAGCCTCTGAGCCCTGCCGACGAGCCGCCCAGAGGATTGGTTTGCTTGCGCTTCTCCGTGAGGCCATTGGGAGGTCCTGGATGGGTAGGACTACTCTGCTGTGCCTGGAGCCCTGGTGAAAAATCAGAGATTTGGGCAGTAGGCACCAGCAACGAGCAGGTTTTGTTTATCAATCCCCTAGGTTAGGGTCAGGGCTATGGATACGCTCTCGAGTGAATGCTACACGCCTCGACGATTGTAGTATTGTATAATTTCTGGTGCCAGATTATTATAGCATTTTAAACTTGTTCTAGTATCATAGTTGTTTTGTTGTAGTAATGGAGTATACGATTGCAGTTTGGGATGTTGCTGGAGAGCCGAGAGACGGGACCTGGTGCGTTTCAGGCTTTGGCGGGCTTGTGATTCTTATTGTTGTTGAGTTTTTTCTTCTCATTGCCATGATACTTGCTATTTCTACTATTGTTGCGGGCGGCGGGCGTAGACGTGTCAGACATAGTCATGCCGACACTGCAAAGCTCCAAGTGCTGCTGAACCTTGGAGTTTAGAGTACCCTCAACCCGAAGTGGGTTCAATGAAGGGCTGCTTCAGGCCACGCCTGATCCTAGGGCCCCGAAGTTTTGTGCCCTTCCTGACAATATCACACTACGATCCCCAGCGCAAGGACTCTGACGCCACGGGCTTCTTCCCTTGCAGGGCCTAGACGCTGCATCTCAAAGATCTCATCGAAGTGATAGAACACGGTCCTTAAGGGCAGGGGAGCATCGAAACGCAGGGAAAGTGCGAAGGAGATGCAGAAGGGGAGGGGGCGGGAGAAGCGACAACGAGGAACCTTCGCCAGCGCCAACAATTGCTGTTGGCGGCCCCTTTCTTCATCCTCAGGGTTTCCGCAAGCCCTAAGGGCCCTAAACTCCGTACCAAAGCCCTCAACGCCCTCAACGCCCTCAAAGCCCTCAAAGCCCTCAACTCGTTGAAACGCGCTCTCTTCAGGTTCAAAACCTTAACAATAAGAAGAAGAAGAAGAAGAAGAACAATAATAGTAACAATAATAATCATAATAGTCGTCATAGGAACAATCGTAAAACTTAATGTCAGCTAAATGCTCATCCGGGCAGCTTGTTCCTCTTGGTCTTGGTGTCCGTCCAGATGAACCTCAGCTACTGCACGGGGAGGCGTCAAGGCTGAGAGAAGCTTTGTGGGGACTTGGGATCGGGAGACCTCCTGGGCCTTTCTTATTGTGTAACATATGCAATACAGTACAATATCGTACTGTGTTGTTTGTTTTGCATTTGCCATATGATACTACATTGCCTTGTGTTACTATTCCGTCTGCGGAATCTTTGATCTCCCCCCAGGTCGCAGACACGAGCTCCACTAAACACTCCGCCGAAGGCACGTCAAACCCGCGGGAAGGTTCTCACCGGCGAAGTCCTCCGGATAGGATGCTTTTGGGGCTCCGGTGGCCAGGGATTTCGGGGGCCCCTACTGTAAGGCGCTCGGCCCTGCAAACCTCGAGCGTCTCATCCCTATCATCCCTAAAACCCTTGTGCAACCCTCAAAACCCTAAAACACCCTCAACAACCCTAAAAAACCCTAAACACCCTAAAAACCCTCAAAACCCCTAAAAAACCCTAAAAACCCTTTCAAAAACCCTAAAACCCCCATTAAAAAATATACTTTAAAAAAAAAACTAAACCCTAAGGCTTCAGAGCAGGTCTGAGCCTTGGATCTCCACAACTCCGGCTTGTCCAACTTGGGCCGCAGGAACTCGCTCCGGCCGCCTGCTTGGGGGGGCTTAGGGCTTCGGGGGGTTTAGGGTTTAGGGTTCAGGGTTTAGGGTTTAGGGTTTAGGGTTTGGGGTTTAGGGTTTAGGGTTTAGGGTTTAGGGTTTAGGGTTTTAAACCCTAAACCCTAAACCCTTTGGATCTCTGGCTTCCTCGGGCCCCGAAACAAACTACAGGAGAGAGAGGTCCTTTGAGAGCCCGTTCCCACGGGTCATTTGAAGGTGCACAGGTTGTGACCTGGAGAACCTGTGCCTGAGGGTTTTAGGGTTTAGGGTTTAGGGTTTAGGGTTTTGGGTTTTGGGTTTAGGGTTTAGGGTTTACACCTGAAAGCCACGAAGTCCCTGAAAAGAAGGGCACGCAACAAACAGCATATGAGCAGAGGCAAAAAACAACGGTGCTGCAAGCTAGACCGCCCATGTTCACAGGCACATCGGCGATGTTTTTCAGGTGGGATGGAATTGAGACCCTCAGCACAAGGATGCGCGCTCCCCTTACGCAGAATATCGGCTTTTAAGTCGGGGATCCTGAAGGGATCCTGAACCTTCTGAAGGGATTCTTTCATAGCAAAACGAAAAAACCCCCCCCCCCGAAGCGCCCCAAAAAGCCCCGATCTTCGGAAACCTTGCATGCGCCTGCAAGCTCCACGTCCACGCAGCCCTTCTCCGGCTTAGTGCGGTCACACTCCACAAGCACGTCCTTCAGCTCGAAGCACCTGCAGGGCACGAAGGAGGAAGGGGGGAGGGGGCCCTTGCCGTCATTCTATGTAACCTACGGACCGCATGGCAACCCCTCAGTCGAGGCGCCAGGCAAGGCTGCTGGACATCTGTTCGTAGCTGCTGAGGTTCGCCAAGTACCTCAGCCACGCCAAGATGTGCCGAATTTCTTGATTTGGTGCGTTTAGGCCTGGGGGGCAGGGTGTTTAGGATTTGGGTGCTGGGGTAAAGGTGCATGCGCCCCACCGCAGGTCTCCTTCTTTCGAGGGGCTTCGGGCTTCTCTCTCTCTCTCTCTCTCTCTACATATACGTTGCCTCCGAGCCGCCATGCCTCACTACCGCAAGCGTCCTAGAGCCCTGGAATCGCGTGTTTCCGTTCGCATCGAGCTCGGAATGGAGCCCAAGCTGCTTCTGGGCTTCAAGAAGGCACATGATGTCCACTTTAAGTTTTTAGAAGCCCCCCTGAATTAAGATCCGTCAGGCCCAGAACTCAATTATAAACCTCCCCTCAATTAAGAGCCTCCTCGGCTCACTTTGGCGTCAGGGGGTTCAGCATTATTGGCAGACCGCATTCCATGGAGTGTCCATATTGGTCCTGCGAACACACTTCAGGAGGGACTTCTCTCTGCATTCACGCGGCTTCGCCATGAGCTGAGCCGGCGTCTTGCCGTTCGCAGGATCACATTCGGGTACGCCTTCGATGCCAGGGCATGCTTCGTGACGATTTGCGTGCGCGTGCGCGTGCGCGTGCGCGTGCGCATGCGCGTGCGCGAGCGCGTGCGCGTGCACGTGCGCGTGCGCGTGCGCGAGCGCGTGCGCGTGCGCGTGCGCGAGCGCGTGCGCGTGCGCGAGCGCGAGCGGGGGCGTGCGCCTGCGTCTGTGTCTATGTTCGTGTCGGTGTCCGTGTCCGTGCGTGAGGAGCCTTGTGGAGGAGAGGTACTTTGCTAACCATGACCCCTTGGCCTGGCAAGATCGTTCAGCAAAGCATGGGGCAACAACATGCACTGCACCCCACCCAGCCCTAAATCCTTGCAACCCTGATCCCTAAACCCTAACCCCGAAACCCCTAAACCCTAAACCCCCAGACCCCTAAAGCCGAAACCTTCAAAAAGGTTTCAGCCAAAAAGGCCCCGGCCTGGGCGGTTCACAAAGCGGAGGAACCCGCCCACCATGACCTCAGTGGTTTAGGGTTTCGGCTTCAGGGTTTAGGGTTAAGGGTTTTGGGCTGAGGGTTTAGGGTTGGTTTTTCGCGAGGGACAGCAATCGCTGTGTCCCCGATAGGGCATACAAATTCGTTGCGAGTTGTTTCGGCCTCGGAATTCGGCTGAAAGTTCTCGAGAATGGAGCCTTGTGTCGGCCGCGTCACTCTCCTTTGCCCACCCGCGCCCATAAAGGGCGGCTCCCACCCTTGGCCAGCTCCACGTTTTAGGGCTTAGTTTCCTAAACCCCTTTTTAGGAAATTATACTTGCTGCTTTGCCGTTGCTTTTGGTTTATCTTTGCTTTTCCTTTCTGCCTCGAGTTGTTTGTTGTTTCTTTCTGTCGTTTCTTCTACATTCTTTCCTTCTTTGTACTCCCTCTTCCTCTTCTTCTTTCTCTTCTTCTTCGGGGCTTGAGGGGAGTCATACTCTCCCTCTGTCTCTCTCTCTCTCTCTCTCTCTCTCCCTCTCTCTTGCTTCTTTTTCCTTACTTCTTCTATCAATTGTGTGGCTGGCCTAGCCGTAATCATATGGGCTACATACATGAGCAAGTTCTCGTAATTCGACTTTCACAATATGATGTAGGTATATTTAGCGCGTATGTAGCGACTATTCATGCGTGTGATATAACGAGTATCATCTGGGAATATGATTTCGGAACATGATTTAGGAAAAGGTTTGGTAATACGATTTAATGAGTATGATTTGAGACAATCATTTAGGACTAGTTTTTGAACAAATGATTTAGCGAATATGATTTAGAAGTACAATTTACCAAATATTCCTAAAGAATATCATTTAGTGAATACGATTACGTGATTCAACAATATGCTTCTTTGAACGCGGCTTAGCGATTTGACTTCGGAATATGCTTTGGCCAATACGATTTGAGCTCCAGGGGTCAGTCCCCACCAGGGCGAAATCTGAAAAATGCAGGTTTCATTTCTTCAAAATAAACTCATTAGAAATCGTGCAATTTTGGACCAAGCCTGGGGCACCCCCACATTTGGGCCCTACCAGGGCGTGCCCACCAGGGCGGCTCGTTTTTTCCACCCGAGCGAGCGAATACAACCCTAAACCCTAAACCCTAAACCCTAAACCCTAAACCCCAAACCCCAAACCCCAGAATGGGTCTCTCAATGCCCCAGCGGCCGCGGGATCCTCGGAGCCCGCCAGGTCCACGGTGGAGATGGGCGCAATCTTACCTTCGGGGGCTTTTAGGGTTTGGGGTTTCGGGTTTAGGGTTTAGGGCTTAGGGTTTAGGGCTTCGCGGGGCCGGGGGGGGGGGGGGGGGATGAAGGCTTCAAGGGTGCCCAAGCTTTTGAGGGCTGGTTCTCTATCGGGCTCCGTGGGCCTAGGGCTTGGGGTTCTGTTGGATTCCGTAGTCGCGGGCTCTGTCGGGTTTTGCCTCGCGTGTATGCCTCGCGTGTGTAACTCCTTTCTGGGTTCAGGGGATGTGGGGTGGGTTTAGTTAGGGTTTAAGTCTTGAGTGGGTGTATACGGAGTGGTCTTTGCTACGTCAGGCTCCGATCCCACCTGCACGCTCTCCTGAACTACCGTCGCAGTTGGGGGGGGGGGGGTGGGGAGGGGGGGGCAGGGAGGGCTCCAGGCTCAGCCAAGCCACCCCCTTTCCAACATAGAAACACATCTTACTGCAGGGAACCCCCGTCCCAAAGTACTAAACCACAAAAACCCTGTTTTGGGAAATCCCCCCAAGTAGAGACAAAGAAAGGGGACCAGGTTGCTTGAGGGTTGAGGGTTTAAAACCCTAGGGTTTAGGGTTAGGGTTGAGGGCTTCGGGTTTCGAATTTAGGGTTGAGGGTTTAGGGCTTAGGGTTAAGGTCAACCTAGAAGTGGTGGCGAAGGCTAGCCTCTGAACTCTCCCCACCCTGCAACTTCCTCAAGCTTTAAGGCCCTTTGGCCCTCGGGCCAACACAGTGAGGGTGCTTGTTTAGGGTTTAGGGTTTAGGGTTTAGGGTTTAGGGTTTAGGGTTTAGGGTTTAGGGTTTGAGGGTTGAGGGTTGAGGGTTGAGGGTTGAGGGTTGAGGGTTGAGGGTTGAGGGTTGAGGGTTGAGGGTTGAGGGTTGAGGGCCCTAAACCCTAAACCCTAAACCCTAAACCCTAAACCCTAAACCCTAAACCCTAAACCCTCAACCCTCAACCCTCAACCCTCAACCCTCAACCCTCAACCCTCAACCCGTATTTGGGACATAACCCAGCAAGAGCACCTGACTTGTAGTGGATGTTGGTCAGCACAAAGAGGGTCCCGCGAGAGGATTTGGGATTGTTCACGGTGCCACCTCGGTCTGCATCGGAGCTTCACCCTCTGAGAGCTTTCCCTTTGCTGTCACAGATTACACACGAAGACCCTCCAGATGTTCAGCGCTTTCCAGCGTTTCAAGCAACAGTCCACAACCCTCCCCAATCTGGTTCTATACCAGGCCTTTCCGGCCACAGCACCACATTCGACAGCCGAAAACCCAGTTTCGGAGTGTTGTGGATGGGGCAAGGGCCTACGGCCGACATGCTGCAACCACACGTGGCCCATGTGAATTGAAACCCCACTACGCAAGCATGCTGAGCGAACCTACATAGCGAGTCAGCATAGACGCTGCGTAGATGCCAAGCAGCAAAAAAAAGTGGGAGCCCCAACCTCAAGCCATGAAACCTTAAAGGTTAGAAGAGTGGGTATTTTGGGCGTTCAAGCAGCATGCGGGATTAGGTATCTGGAGACGACCACTTGTAGAGGGTGGGGCTCTCTGTCCTCACTGGGCTCAAAGCACCTGCTTTCTTCAAACCTTGCCCATCCTTGCCCCCTCCTGCCTCACTAGTTTGCTAGGCTCACAAGCCTGCATTTTTAAAGGAGGTCTGGGGCGCGGACGGATGTGCGCAATCGGCACGCCCCCTGCCTTGAACTGATCCTCCTCCATGCGGATGTCCTGAGGGCTTAACCCGATGTCCGGAAGCCACATATGATACAACAAAGAAGCTTACATCACGTGATACCCATGTCATAAGACGTGATATGATAAACCCTAAACCCTAAACCCTAAACCCTAAACCCTAAACCCTAAACCCTGAGAATGATCTTGAATGCAGATGTAACGGAACCTGTTGCCTCTCAACTTTCTGGAACAGGCTCCTCGGGTTCGGCCCTCCAGGGTTCCGATTTGAAGGTTCAGGGGGTACTTCTGCACCAAGTCTAACTGCACTTAGAACCCAAATCATCACCAAAATTCGGGCATTTCAAGAGGCTTGTAAAGTGGGTTGTAAGTGCAGTCATAAGTGGCAAATTCCTAAGTTTCCTGAACCTTCAAGCAAGACCCGCTCCTCGATGACGGTCAGGAGCTCCTTCACCTGCCCATGGCCGTGCCCTGGGGGGCCTCTGTCCCGAACCCTGTAAGGCCCTCAACCTTGTGGGGTTTAGGGTTTAGGGTTTAGGGTTTAGGGTTTAGGGTTTTGGGTTTTGGGGTTTAGGGTTTAGGGTTTAGGGCTTAGGGCTTCGGGCTTAGGGCTTGAGGCTTAGGGGTCAACCCTAAAGGCCGCCGTTTACCCGCCTGCTCGTGCCAGGCGACCGTGCCCGCCATGGAAGCGGGGCTTTCGGCCTCAGAGGGCTGAACGACTGGAAGGGGTTCAGGGTTTAGGGTTTAGGGTTTAGGGTTTAGGGTTTAGGGTCTAGGGTCTAGGGTCTAGGGTCTAGGGTTTCGGGCTAAGGGTTTCGGATTTGGGGTTTAGGGTTTCGGGCTAAGGGTTTAGGATTTAGGGTTTAGGGTTTCGGGCTAAGGGTGTAGGGTTCAAGGCTCCTGGGCGGGAGAGGGGCGTGTAAGCAAAAGTGTGTGAATCTGGTCTCATGGTCTCATGTACTATCCAGATGATATGCAACCTCTTCAACGGCTGCGGCTACAACGTCCCCTACAGTGAAATGCGGCCCTCAACCCTAAACCCAAAATCCTATGCTTCCCTAAGCCCGAAGAGATCCACCGCCTCAAAGCCCCGCCCTCCCGCCCCGCGCATCATCCACCAAAGCTACCATCGAAACTTGGGATGTTGACCCTTACACTAACAGTCCTTAATGGGGATTATAATAGGGGGTTATAATAGGGGTACTAGAATCCCTATTAAGGACAGTTAGTATAAGGGGGAACGTCCCAACCCAGGCCTACCACCTGCTGGACCCAAAAAACTTCTCCCAGCCTTGACACTGTAGGTGTACGCGTCGTCGTCCAGGGCATCCTTTCCATGGGATGCTTTGAGAAGGCCCTGTAAAGCCCCCAAAAGCCCCTAAACGCCCCCTAAAAGCGCCCCTAAAAGACCGCTAAGAGCACCCTAAGCACCCCGAAGCCTTCTAAGCCCCGTAAGCCCCCTACATCGCTTCTGCCCAACAAGCCCCACTAAGCATTCTAAGCCCCCTAAGCCCGTAGGGCGCCGCTTAGAAATTTGCCCTCAACTATACATCTACATCTACATCTACATCTACATCTACATCTACATCTACATCTACATATACATATACATATACATATACATATACATATACATATACATATACATATACATATACATATACATATACATACATATATACACACATATCAACAAGCGGCTACCAAAAACCAGCGCGTGGCGCAGAAGGAAGCGGGAAGGGCCGGCCTGGAGCTTCTGCATGTCCAGCCTGCCGTGGCCTTTCAACTCAAGGGGGGAATTGCCTAGGAGGGCCCCCCGAAAACCCTGAGAAAGATATTCCTGGAATATGAATCTTCTTAAAGGGATATCCCTTAGGATGGCCCCTAAAACCCTCTGAAAAATATTCCTGGAATACGATTCTCTTCAACCCAATAATTAAGGGAAAACATGCAATGTTCCAAGGTCCTACCTAGCCCCAAGGGTGTTGGCTGCTGTTTCCACCCTTCCGTTCCTCCGCTTAGCTTGCTGGAGCTGACTAGTGGCGAACAGTAGGCACTGTCAGCTCCGGCCGCTTTTGTGTACTGAAGCATGGGATGCTGTTCGGCGACGCAAGCTCCCGGCGATGGGGTTGAGTTGATTGCTGGGCCTATAAGGCTCCGCGCCTCACTCAGAGCCATAGCACTTGAGCCCCCAGTTTGGCTTATGGCTTTAAGGTCTAGGATTTTCCCTCGAACCCGTTGACACCCCTGGCCGACCCACAAGCCAATAAGCTCAATCCCAGAAACCAAGAGGCTCAAGCAGGGTCCCCTGATAAGCAACTTGCACAACCCCGCAATCATTCACCGCACTCCCCGTAGACCCCCTGGAGCCCCTTCTCGCCCCCCCCGATACGCCGGAACACTTTGTAGGTGTTCGCCACTCCCCCGATACGCAAAACCTGGAGTCAGGAGGTGCGTGGCGTGAACACCAAGCAAAGGTTCAACAGCAACGACAGTTGCATACAGTTGCGAGGATGGCGCCCCCCACGTGCCTCATCCTCGTAACTGTCAGCACTTAAGAGACTCGCAGAACAAACGAAGGCCCCAAAGTGACGACAGCTACGAGATCGGCGCAACCCACATGCCTCATTGTTGCAACTGTCTGCGTCTTTTGAGATGCGAAGAACAAACGAAGCTTGAAAAATGACGACAGTCACGAGGATGGCGCCACCCACATGCCTCGTCCTCGTGACTGCCTGCTCTCGTCAAGCAACCATAGTCCAGAAATGACGTTACAATCACGAGGATGACGCACCTCGAGGCCCGAGAGGCCTCGTCCTCAGTCCTCGTAACCGTCTGCACTGTTGAGAAGCCATGCCAAAACGCTGGGTTCCGCAACTACAGCCTGATTCGTGCCACCTCGGTTGTTTTCGAACGCTTTAGAACACTTTAGAACACTGTTCGGACGCTTTGCGAACACAAATCGCACGATGCCCGGAAACTCCCCAACCCCTGGAACCCCATACGCATTCGGGAGAAAAGAAGTCTCCACGGCTGCGGGTATCTTGGACCACAACATGCCTTCGCGACAATGACTCCCCCCCCCGCCCCTATCCGCCCGGGTGTGCTGGGGCGCCATTCCCGCATGGAACCTACAAGTACTTCGGCGCGGGGTGGCGCGACACGCCACATTCCTGTGCTTCCTAAACTTCCTAAACTTCCTGAACTTCCTGAACTTTCCAAACCCTAGACTGTTCGTACTCAACCCCCCGCAGCCCTAAACTTTCCATACCCCCCAAGGCAAGAAATAGTAGGACTCCCTTGCAATAAGGACCCCAGTAAGGTACCCCGAATTTCGGAAACCCCCCAATGATGTCTGAGGCGCGGTGTTCATGCTCCTCCTCTTCCTCCTCATCCTCATACCTCGGTTCCAGGGCTTCGGGTTTTTGGAGGGTCGTCTTCAAAACCTCGGTTTAGGGCTGTGGGTTTTCGTAGGGTTTTAGCTTTCAGGAGGGTTTGGGGTGCGCATGTGGTTGATCTTCGGGTTTGGGGGGATGTCACAGCCCGAGGGTTTGGGGATTCTACGGGGATTGTAAGGGATCTTTACTAGATTTACTAGTGATTGTGCAGGCTCCTGCATTAAGGTGCACGGGGACCACCATTCCAAGCTGCCACTCCTCTTCTTCATCCACTTCACCATGGTCCTCCATGAAGGCTTCGGCAGTTCCCAGGTATTCTGCGACCTGTCAAGAGCTCAAGGCTGTACTTGGAGGTTCATGGGTACTATAACTCTACCTACAACCTACTGAGGGGACTTCGGGGGCGTGCAAGTACAGTCATCATTGGGGCTACAAGCAAGTACCCTGAAACCTCCAAGTAGGGCTTGAGCAGCGCAGTGAGGGTTCCTTGGGGCGCCTTCTCCTTCAGCTTGTAGCCCCAGACGCCGGATCCCGTGTTCCTCTTCATGTGCCCCGTCTGCGTGCTGATTCGGCCGTAGACCTGGCAGAAGGAGCGAGAGCCGGTGGGAACATGCGAAGAGGTGCACTCGGAACCTTGAGCCCTCAGCATCCCGCAGCACAACCCCCAACGGCAACAGGTTCGAAGAGGAGCCGTCGTCAATGCCCCCAGCTCCTCCTCCCCCTCCCCCCCCCCCACCACCCCTCCCCCCCCCCCCCCCCCCCCCCCCCCCCCCCCCCCCCCCCCCCCCCCCCCCCCCCCCCCCCCCCCCCCCGCGGCCTCGAAGATGCGCACTTGCACATCCTCGGCCGGCTTCTATAAACCAAGCTCGTAACTCCCTAGATCTGGTTCAGAGCGGGCTGGACAAGTTCTAGTAAGCGGGCACCCCCCCCCCACTGTGCGTCCCAAGGATCCTCGATCTTGTTCGCATTCTCCTGCGCCAAGTTGCGAGTCTCGACTTTCGGAACGTCCAAAGGTGCAAAGGAAGGAGCGGCTTTCGGATTTGATGAGGCTCAGGAACGTTGAGGGCCCTAAACCCTAAGCCCTAAACCCAAAACCCTAAACCCTAAACCCTAAACCCATCTAAACCCTAAACCCTAAACCCTAAACTCAGTGAGCAAGGCGTCCTTGAGGTAGAGCGACAGGACGCCATCGATGCCTCGGCCCCCGCCGACTGGGGCAGTCGCGTCACCGATCCTCAGCACTCCGCGATGTTGCCATTCTAGGATGAGGGGTCTGACTACCTGAAAATCTTAGAAGCATATATTTATATCTATATCTATATCTATATTTATATCTTTAGGTATATTTACATTCATATTTATACTGGTATTGATATTGATACTCATATAAGGGTATATATACCCATGTACATACCCATGTACATATAGTCTTAGTAATTTACATACATATATATATATATATATATTTATGTCGCCTGAGAAGCCCTCTTCTCTTTTCCGCAAGCCGTCGTCAAGCGGGGAACTGAAACGTAGCCACGGCAACGCTAAACCGCGGCTGCCGATGGCTTCTGACGAAACTGTGCCTCTGAAACCGTGCACGTCAACGAAACAGATCGGGAAAAACCTTTCTGCGCAACAGGAACCTGGACAGTGAGAGCTTGGAATCATGATCAAAAACTTAACCACCATCTCGGTTCCTTGTAGCTCACAGCTGCACTTCCTCAGCCATGTGGAACTGGGCCGTCTTGGCGTACTCCCTCATCTGCTGAGCGGCCTTCTCCAATCGTTCCTTCTTGCTCGGAGCTGCCTGACAATCATGGTAGTGAAGGGCACCCTGCAATGTACTCCTTGCCATAAGCGCGAAGAATGAGAGTAGTGAAGCATGGCAACACAACACAGTGGCCATTTCTTAGAACATGTGAAAATGAGCACACCGCCAACGCCTCGAGCTTGACTTTCTCCTGCTTGAGCTCTTCAATGACTTGAGGAAAGTAGGACGCCTCGCACGGAGCTCCACATCAAAATGCTTGGGTGGGGTTGCGTATGTCGGTGGTTGGGCACGATCATGCATTGCAAGTTGAATCAGCTTTATTGAACCGGCACACTTCAGGTCCCCATGTCCGACAGGCCTCAATTCTGCTCCTCGTGACAAAATCGATCTCCCCGGGCTTTGTGGCGGCCAAGGAGGCATCGATGCCCTGCATAAAGCTGGGCCGGACCACCGAGAACCTGAAGGCTTTGGGTGCAAGGTTTAAGCTCCAGGCTACAGGTCCTGGATCGTTCGGATAGGACCAAGCAATGTTAACAAGGCTTCCTATCAAAATAAAACTTAAAAAGCCAAAACCTCTGCTTGGGGGGTCGTAGGAACTCAGGCAGGTCGTTCACGGCCCAGCTGCTTGCGGGCACAGCGAGGCCCACCATCAGTCCAGCCAGAACTCCCATCACAACGGTGCCAGCATCACTTGGAGGCTCTGGGCGCACCACCTTGTCAGGGAGGCTGCGAGGGGTGGACACGCGCAGCGGCGGCGCCACGAAGGCAACGGTCGCAAAGGCAAGGGCCAGGGCACCGAGGAGCAGACCAGAGCGAGTCATGAGCGCGAGGTTCTGCTAGTTCCGCAGGTCTCAAAGCTACTGCAACTCAGCCAGAAAAGCTGTCGGGCGAAAGGTAAGCCTGACCTGCTTGCTGCGCCACGTCATGAGCGCCGTGCCCGCGACTGTTGTTCTGGCAGCTCGCAGTTGCTAGTGCCACTACTGCCCTGGCTGCTACTGCCCCCGCCGACTGGGGCAGTCGTATCGCGATGTTGCCATTCTAGGATGAAGGGTCTGAGTTGGGCTCACACCTAAAGTCTTAGAAGCTTATATATGTATGTATGTATATAAATATATATATGGATATGGGTATATAAATATATACCCATTTACATATAGTCTTAGTCTTAGTAATTTACATACATATATAAATACACATATATATATATATATATATGCCTCGTCTCTTTTCCGCAAGCCGTCGTCAAGCGGGGAACTGAAACGTAGCCACGGCAACGCTAAACCGCGGCTGCCGATGGCTTCTGACGAAACTGTGCCTCTGAAACCGTGCACGTCAACGAAACAGATCGGGAAAAACCTTTCCGCGCAACACAGGAACCTAGACAGTGAGAGCTTGGAATCATGATCAAAAACAGAACCACCATCTCGGTTCCTTGTGGCTCACAGCTGCACTTCCTCAGCCATGTGGAACTGGGCCGTCTTGGCGTACTCCCTCATCTGCTGAGCGGCCTTCTCCAATCGTTCCTTCTTGCTCGGAGCTGCCTGACAATCATGGTAGTGCTAGCCATAATCGCCCCAGAATGAGAGTAGTGAAGCATGGTAACACAACACAGTGGCCATTTTTTTAGAACATGTGAGAATGAGCACACCGCCAACGCCTCGAGCTTGACTTTCTCCTGCTTGAGCTCTTCAATGACTTGGGGAAAGTAGGACGCCTCGCACGGAGCCGTGATTGGGGACGATCATGCATTGCAAGATGTTGCAAGTTGAATCAGCTTTACTGAACCGGCACATCACGTTCAAGCACTTCCAGCAATCAGCTAGTGCCTGCACACTTCAGGTCCCCATGTCCGACAGGCCTCAATTCTGCTCCTCGTGACAAAATCGATCTCGCCGGGCTTTGTGGCGGCCAAGGAGGCATCGATGCCCTGCATGAAGCTGGGCCGGACCACCGAGAACCTGAAGGCTTTGGGTGCAAGGTTTAAGCTCCAGGCTACAGGTCCTGAATCGTTCGGATAGGACCAAGCAATGTTAACAAGGCTTCCTATCAAAATAAAACTCAAAACGCCAAAACCTCTGCTTGCGGGGTCGTAGGAACTCAGGCAGGTCGTTCACAGCCCAGCTGCTTGCGGGCACAGCGAGGCCCACCATCAGTCCAGCAAGAACTCCCATCACAACGGTGCCAGCATCACTTGGAGGCTCTGGGCGCACCAACTTGTCAGGGAGGCTGCGAGGGGTGGACACGCGCGGCGGCGCCACGAAGGCAACGGTCACAAAGGCAAGGGCCAGGGCACCGAGGAGCAGACCAGAGCGAGTCATGAGCGCGAGGTTCTGCTAGTTCCGCAGGTCTCAAAGCTACTGCAACTCAGCCAGAAAAGCTGCCGGGCGAAAGGCCTGACCTGCTTGCTGCGCCACGTCATGAGCGACGTGCCCGCGACTGTTGTTCTGGCAGCTCGCAGTTGCTAGTACCACTACTGCCCTGGCTGCTACGGCACCTTCTCTTTTCCGGAAGCCTTCGTCATCAAGCATGGAGCTGTCTGAAACAGAGCCATGGGACCGCTGTAATGGCCGTGTCTGTCAAGCTATGCCCAGTACCTCCCATGCCCTTCTGGCAGCCACAAAAGCAAAGGCTGCAGAAATTAACAAGCTACTGTACAATGGGGGCATGAATCTCTGGGCGAGGACTGAAGACGCCAGCCGCGGCTTTCGATGGCTTCTGACTAAACTGTGCCTCTGAAACCATGCACGTCAACGAAACAGGTCGGGGATGCAGATTCTGTGCGATGCAGGAACCTGAAGAGTTCGAGCCATTGTTTGAGTTGAACTTTATGTATAGCTCAAAGACAGGGGCAGTGAAGGACATAACGATTTTCAGGTTCCTGTCTTGCCTCATGACATGCTCAAAGCTCCACTTCCTCAGCCATGTGGAACTGGGCCGTCTTGGCGTACTCCCTCATCTGCTGAGTCGCCTTCTCAAGGCGTTCCTGTTTGCTCGGAGCTGCCTGGCAATGATGGTACTGGTAGCCATGATCACCACAGCAAGAGAAGGGCAGCCTTCAAAAATGCATTCCCTGCCATAGCAGCCGTAGCGCCAAGAACGAGTGGGGTGAAAAATGGCAAAACAACACAACGGCCAACATTCTCAAGAACTGCAAAAATGAGCACATCCCCCAGCACGCCGCCACGCCTCGAGCTTGACTCTCTCCTGCTTGAGCTCTTCAATGACTTGAGGAAAGTAGGACGCCTCGCACGGAGCTCCACATCAAAATGCTTGGGTGGGTGCGTAGGTCGGTGATTGGGCACGATCAGAGTTGAATCAACTTTATTGAACCGGCACATCACGTTCAAGCACTTCCAGCAATCGGCTAGTGCCTGCACACTTCAGGTCCCCATGTCACATGTCCGACAGGCCTCAATTCTGCTCCTCGTGACAAAATCGATCTCCCCGGGCTTTGTGGCGGCCAAGGAGGCATCGATGCCCTGCATGAAGCTGGGCCGGACCACCGAGAACCTGAAGGCTTTGGGTGCAAGGTTTAAGCTCCAGGCTACAGGTCCTGGATCGTTCGGATAGGACCAAGCAATGTTAACAAGGCTTCCTATCAAAATAAAACTTAAAAAGCCAAAACCTCTGCTTGGGGGGTCGTAGGAACTCAGGCAGGTCGTTCACGGCCCAGCTGCTTGCGGGCACAGCGAGGCCCACCATCAGTCCAGCCAGAACTCCCATCACAACGGTGCCAACATCACTTGGAGGCTCTGGGCGCACCACCTTGTCAGGGAGGCTGCGAGGGGTGGACACGCGCAGCGGCGGCGCCACGAAGGCAACGGTCGCAAAGGCAAGGGCCAAGGCACCGAGGAGCAGACCAGAGCGAGTCATGAGCGCGAGGTTCTGCTAGTTCCGCAGGTCTCAAAGCTACTGCAACTCAGCCAGAAAAGCTGTCGGGCGAAAGGCAAGCCTGACCTGCTTGCTGCGCCACGTCATGAGCGACGTGCCCGCGACTGTTGTTCTGGCAGCTCGCGTTTGCTAGTACCATTATTGCCCTGGCTGCTACGGCACCTTCTCTTTTCCGGAAGCCTTCGTCATCAAGCATGGAGCTGTCTGAAACAGAGCCATGGGACCGCTGTAATGGCCGTGTCTGTCAAGCTATGCCCAGTACCTCCCATGCCCTTCTGGCAGCCACAAAAGCAAAGGCTGCAGAAATTAACAAGCTGGGACTGTACAATGGGGGCATGAATCTCTGGGCGAGGACTGAAGACGCCAGCCGCGGCTTTCGATGGCTTCTGACTAAACTGTGCCTCTGAAACCATGCACGTCAACGAAACAGGTCGGGGATGCAGATTCTGTGCGATGCAGGAACCTGAAGAGTTCGAGCCATTGTTTGAGTTGAACTTTATGTATAGCTCAAAGACAGGGGCAGTGAAGGACATAACGATTTTCAGGTTCCTGTCTTGCCTCATGACATGCTCAAAGCTCCACTTCCTCAGCCATGTGGAACTGGGCCGTCTTGGCGTACTCCCTCATCTGCTGAGTCGCCTTCTCAAGGCGTTCCTGTTTGCTCGGAGCTGCCTGGCAATGATGGTACTGGTAGCCATGATCACCACAGCAAGAGAAGGGCAGCCTTCAAAAATGCATTCCCTGCCATAGCAGCCGTAGCGCCAAGAACGAGTGGGGTGAAAAATGGCAAAACAACACAACGGCCAACATTCTCAAGAACTGCAAAAATGAGCACATCCCCCAGCACGCCGCCACGCCTCGAGCTTGACTCTCTCCTGCTTGAGCTCTTCAATGACTTGAGGAAAGTAGGACGCCTCGCACGGAGCTCCACATCAAAATGCTTGGGTGGGTGCGTAGGTCGGTGATTGGGCACGATCAGAGTTGAATCAACTTTATTGAACCGGCACATCACGTTCAAGCACTTCCAGCAATCGGCTAGTGCCTGCACACTTCAGGTCCCCATGTCACATGTCCGACAGGCCTCAATTCTGCTCCTCGTGACAAAATCGATCTCCCCGGGCTTTGTGGCGGCCAAGGAGGCATCGATGCCCTGCATGAAGCTGGGCCGGACCACCGAGAACCTGAAGGCTTTGGGTGCAAGGTTTAAGCTCCAGGCTACAGGTCCTGGATCGTTCGGATAGGACCAAGCAATGTTAACAAGGCTTCCTATCAAAATAAAACTTAAAAAGCCAAAACCTCTGCTTGGGGGGTCGTAGGAACTCAGGCAGGTCGTTCACGGCCCAGCTGCTTGCGGGCACAGCGAGGCCCACCATCAGTCCAGCCAGAACTCCCATCACAACGGTGCCAACATCACTTGGAGGCTCTGGGCGCACCACCTTGTCAGGGAGGCTGCGAGGGGTGGACACGCGCAGCGGCGGCGCCACGAAGGCAACGGTCACAAAGGCAAGGGCCAGGGCACCGAGGACCAGACCAGAGCGAGTCATGAGCGCGAGGTTCTGCTAGTTCCGCAGGTCTCAAAGCTACTGCAACTCAGCCAGAAAAGCTGTCGGGCGAAAGGGCTGACCTGCTTGCGACCAGTCCCTCTTCCCTCTCGGACATGCCCACACCACTTTGCAGAACATGAGAGAGCATGATTAGAACATGATTTAGATAGAACATGATAGAGCATGAAAGAACAGCAGAGAACATGATGAACCCATGATCCATGGCACAGCCCCCTAAGCCCTGGATCCCCGGCCCCCCTAAACCGCCGCCCAGGCGCAGCGTCGTCGTCTTGCCGGCGCCGGAGTAGCCGTAGCTGATCATCATGAGGCCCTCCCCAGCTTCAGCCTGAGGGGGGCGGGGGGCGGCTTTCCCCGAGTTTTAAAACCTCGGATCCTTCGAGGGCTTGGGGTTGCGATGTTCCTTAACCCTAAACCCTAAAACCCTAAAACCCTAAAACCCTAAAACCCTAAAACCCTAAAACCCTAAAACCCTAAAACCCTAAAACCCTAAAACCCTAAAACCCTAAAACCCTAAAACCCTAAAACCCTAAAACCCTAAAACCCTAAAACCATAAAACCCTAAAACCCTAAAACCCTAAAACCCTAAAACCCTAAAACCCTAAAACCCTAAAACCCTAAAACCCTAAAACCCAAAACCCTAAAACCCTAAAACCCAAAACCCTCAACCCTTAACCCTTAATGGGGATTGCAGTACCCCGTATTCTAATCCCTATGACTGCTAGCATAAGGGGGAACATCCCAAGGCCCAGGGCCCAGAGGCTTCGGACCCAGAATGGCTCTTTTGGGTTTAGGGTTTAGGGTTTAGGGTTTAGGGTTTAGGGCTTAGGTTAGGATTTAGGGTTTAGGGTTTTTAGGGTTTAGGGTTTAGGGTTGATTGAAATAATTTAGGGTTCAGGTCCGGGGAAAGTTTCGAGGAGTTTCTGCTCTAATAACTTCAAGTTACAGGGGCTTGAGGGTCTAGGGTTTAGGGTTTAGGGTCTAGGGTCTAGGGTCTAGGGTTTAGGGTTTAGGGTTTAGGGTTTAGGGTTTAGGGTTTAGGGTTTAGGGTTTAGGGTTTAGGGTTTGGGGTTTAGGGTCGAGGGTTTGGGGTTTAGGGTTTAGGGTTGAGGGACTACAAGGACAGGGTTGAGGCTCCTGTGTGCAGCAAGAGGCCTCGCGCAGGATCTCCGAGAGGGGCGGGTCCAACTGTCGGTCCTTGTGGCAAAGTCCCTAAACCCTAAACCCTAAACGTCCCTCGGCCCGAAACCCGGAATCCTCAACTTTCAGCGCCTTCGGGGAGAGTCAGCCGCTCTCTATCCCTAAACCCTGCACTTTAGCCCCTAAAGCCATCTAAGGCCCAAAGCCCGTTCTTTTTTTTTTGCCGGGGGGGGGGGGGGGGGGGGGGGGGGGGGGGGGCACCCTACATGTTAAGGCAACTACTGGGCACTCATGCCCTCAACCCTAAACCCTTCCTGGTTTGTGGTTTGGGGTTTGGGGTCCCCCACCCCCCCCAGGACATTCGGGGCACGTGAAGGGGCCAAAAAGCCGCCCGAAAGACCTGAACCCCGGAATCACTGCACAGGCCTCAGAAGACGCAGAGGGTGATCCTTCAAGCTCTGAAAAGCCCAGGAAAACGACCCTCAACCCCACCCTAAACCACCCTAGACCCTAAGCCACCCTAAACTTCTGGAGGAACCTTATGAACCTCCCAAGAACCCCTAGAACCCCTAGAACCCCCAGAACCCCCCCGAAGCCCCCCGGAAGCCCCCCCGGAAGCCACAGTAAACCCCTGGCTTCCCCAGAGCCTGCGGAAGAGGCCAGTCCATGGTCTTGGGGTCCCAGCCTCGAACGTAGACTTCGGGGTTGGAAGGGCTTAGGACGGCTAAGGGTGAGGTTGAAGCTTAAGGTTTAAGGGTTTAGGGTTGAGGTTGAGGGCTCAGGGTGAACGGCTTCAAGGGTGCGCAAGGGTTTGGGGGGGGTCTTCAGTTTTCAGGGTTTTAGGGCTTTAGGGCTTGTTGTTGAGGCTTCTTTAAGGGCTTAGGGCTTTAGGGCTTGCTTTTAAGGTATCTAGGGCTTGCCAGGGCTTTTGTTTTTTAGCGCTTCTTTAGGCTTGCTTGAGGGAGCCGACGTCCTCCTGACGGCTGGCGCTTTATGGGGGGTTGAACTCCGAACTTCGAGGGTTTAGAGGCTTCAGGGCTTAGGGGTTTTGGGGGCTCAAGGCTTTGGACTTTTAGGGTTTAGGGGTTTAGGGTTTAGGGTTTAGGGTTTAGGGTTTAGGGTTTAGGGTTTAGGGTTTAGGGTCTAGGGTTTAGGGTTTAGGGTTTGGGGCTCAAGGCTTTGGACTTTTAGGGTTGAGGGGCTCAGGGGGTTGGCGTTCAGTGACACATTTCGGTGCAGGGTTGTTTGGGGTTGGGTTCACTCGGCAGCGCCCCGGTAAACATGCTCTTGCCTGCGTTGGTGTTTTGGGAGGGACGGGGGGGTCCTCTCATTTTTTGCGATACAAGGTAGACAAAGCGAGAGGAGAGCCCTGGAAGGGTTCCCAGAATTCTCACCAGACCTCCGCCCCTAAACCCTGAACCCTAAACCCTAAACCTCGAATGTAAGGCTGTGGCTGGTCTGCTTCAGCTTCGTCGACTTCCTCAGCCACTCCCGGGACCGCGAGTAGGAGAGGGGCGGCGTCTTTCCGTAGATGTACTCCTTTGCCGGGGCGGGAGCCCTAAACCCAAAAGCCCTAAACCCCAAGCCCTAAACCCTAAGCCCTCAACCCTAAGCCCTAAACCCTAAGCCCTAAACCCTAAGCCCTAAACCCGATTCCCTAAGGCCCTAAGCCCAAAGCCCTAAACCACGCTGCCCTGTCCCAAGGAGCCTGTACAGCCAAGCCTAAGACTGGGCTCGTGTTCACTGCAACATTGACTGGAGAACCCCTGAGCAGAGAACCCAGGAAATCGAGCCACAGGGGGCCACTCCAGAGGGGGCTTCCGTGACGCGGCCTCAGACATGAAGTCCCTGAGCCCCAAGGGAACTCAACTCCTTGCCTTTAAGGAGTTTAGGGTTTGGTTTTAGGGTTTGGGGTTTAGGGTTTAGGGGTTCAGGGTTTAGGGTTCAGGGTTTAGGTTTAGGGTTTAGCGGTTAGGGGTTTAGGGTTTAGGGTCTAGGGTCTAGGGTTGAGGGTTGAGGGTTTAGGGCCCGGCCTCCCCAGTCCCTAAGCCTTCATAAGCCGAATAGGCCCCTTTGCACCCTCGTCCCTGACACACACCCCCAAGGAAACTCAGAAAGACCATGATAACCCTAAACCCTAAACCCTAAACCCTAAACCTAAACCCTAAACCCTAAACCCTAAACCCTAAACCCTAAACCCTAAACCCTAAACCCTGAACCCTGAACCCTGAACCCTAAACCCTAAACCCTAAACCCTAAACCCTAAACCCAACCCTGATCGCGCAACGTACATTAGGCCCCTGAAGAGGCAGAGGTTCCGCCATGGCCCGGTTCAGCTGCCCCTTGAAGGCAGTGGCCTCTTCGGGTTAGGGGCTTTCGAAGGGGTTTAGGGTTTAGGGTTTAGGGTTTAGGGCTTAGAGTTTAGGGTTTAGGGTTTAGGGTTTAGGGTTTAGGGTTTAGGGTTCAGCAGCTCCGGGTCGAGCAATCTCCAGTAGAGCCGCTGTTTGGGCTCTCGAAAAAAACCCACCCACCCAGAGAATCCCAAAACATTCAGAAATATAAAGTTTACATTTTTCATCAGCAAGCCCTGTCCTCCAACCTCACTTTGTCATGGGCCATCCTACCCACCCGCCAGAAAAAGGCGGGGGAGGGGGGGAGGGGGGTGGAGAGGGGGGAAAGGGGGGGGAAGGGATGGGGGGGGAGGAAGGGGGGGTGGGGGGGGGGGGGGGGGGGGGGGGGGGGGGGGGGGGGCGTGGGGGGCGGGGGGGGGGGGGTGGGGGGGGGGGGGGTCGGGGAAATGACCCTTAGCCGAAGGAAATTACCTTAGCCACGAAGAAAATTTAGCCCTTAGCACGAAGAAAGACCCTAGCCACGAAGAAAGGACCAGCGAAGAAATGACCCTTAGCCCCGAAGAAATGACCCTTAGCCACGAGAAATGACCCTTAGCCACGAAGAAATGACCCTTAGCCACGAAGAAATGACCCTTAGCCACGAAGAAATGACCCTTAGCCACGAAGAAATGACCCTGAGCCACGAAGGAAATGACCCTTAGCCACGAAGGAAATGACCCTTAGCCACGAAGAAATGACCCTTAGCACTCAGGAAATGGCCCTTAGCGACCAGGAAATGGCCCTTAGCGACCAAGAAATGGCCCTTAGCGAAGAAATGGCCCTTAGCCACGAAGAAATGACCCTTAGCCACGAAGAAATGACCCTTAGCCACGAAGAAATGACCCTTAGCCACGAAGAAATGACCCTTAGCCACGAAGGTGTATAGGGTTTAAATATATATGGTAAGAGAGGTTTAGGGTTTAGGGTTTAGGGCTTCGGGTTTAGGGTTTGAGGTTTAGGGCTTTCTTCGGGATTTAAGCGGGTAGGAATGGGGAGGTCTATTTCCGTATTGCGCTTCATGTATCTGACCGGCGCATCCCTGTACAGGATGGGGTGGGCACGACCGCCTCTGGCCAGTGACTCTTTTAACGCAGTACCCTAAACCCAGAAGCTAAAAAACCCTAAAACCCGTAAAACCCTAAAGCCCTAACCCCGAAAGCCCAAAGGCACTGAGAGCCTCACACACTAGATGAAATCATTCCAGGGCAAGCGAGACAGGACAACCCCTAAACCCTAAACCCTAAACCCCCTGGCAGCCTGGGGTTCAGCACACTCCTCGTCGTCCTCCGCCTCCTCGTCCAAAAAGGAGTCCTGGGGATATGCGTGGCTCCCAGCGTCTCCCAATGTACGAGTACGAGAAAACAGCGGCCGTTGTGACGAAGATCTGTGAATGCAACTGGTTCGCAGACAAGAACGGCTGAGTGTGACCAGCCCACTAAGACACCACTTGGTTTACAATGTCGAAGATACATGAAATTAGGACTCGTGTGCTCATTCGCTTGCAGGTGTAGAGAACAGAACGCGGGAGTGAAACGCATGAAGAAGAAAACTCTGGTCCCGATGGCCATGCGGTGGAAATCGGGACCCCGCCCCCATCCTCTTGGACGGCTTCGCTTTGCGCGTCCGTTGCCTTTGGGGGGTCAGGTGTTGCAGATGGCGCTCTCACCTGTGCGCCCGTGGAAGCTGCACAACTGACATGGCTTTGGGCCCCGAAGTGCTCTGCTCTTTCCAGAAGTGCCCCTTTGCGGCCCGTTTAGGCGGACAACTGGTTTCGGTAGATCCCCAAGCTACGGCCTAGATTCCGCTTGCCCCCTCACCTTTGGGTTGAGGAATACCGAAGAGTCGAGTTCAGCTAGGCGCCCACAGAGTCCGGCCCTTTCGCAAGCTACATCGGACTGCGGTGTTTAGGGTTTAGGGTTTAGGGTTTCGGGTTTCGGGCTTAGGGTTTCGGGTTTCGGGTTTCGGGTTCAGTCCAGCTGCGGCTTGGAGTTAGCGCTTGGAGTTGGCTTGGAGTGCTGTTCATGTCTTCCGGGGGCGTTGCTGGATTCTTGCCTTGCTCCCTCAACCCTCCAAGCACGACAACCTGAGATCCCAAACCCTAAAGCCCCAAGTGGGATAAGACTTAGGGGGGCCGAAGTTTCGGGAGCTACCTCCGGCTCCAAGAGACAAGGAGAGTCCCAAAAAAAAACCAACAAAGCGAGAGGAAATGTACCAAGAATCCGCCCTTTTGGGGGGTTTGACGAAAATAGGGGGACCCCAAAAATGGACCCCCCAAATCGTCGGATTCCCTTACAACAAGGACCCCAGTAAGGTGCCCCCGAATTTCGGAAACCATCGTGTGAGGCCCCCGAAGCCCTACAACCCCCTAAACCCTGAACCCTAAACCCTAAACCCTAAACCCGAAAGGAATCCACCCTTTGAAACCCCCTCCTCCCCCCTGCGCGTTGGGTCCTCGCTCTCCTGGCCTTCCTCGAGCAAGGAGCCGCGACTTCGGCGTCCCTTGCCTGCCGGGCTCCGTAAGTGCTGAGCCATTTTTGTTTATCTTTTTTTTTTGGTTTAAGGGTGTTTTTAGGGGTTTTTAGGGGGCTTTAAGGCTTTAGGGCTTGAGGGCTTGAGGGCTTTAGGGCTTCAGGGCTTGAGGGCTTCAGGGCTTCAGGGCTTCAGGGCTTCAGGGCTTAAGGGCTTGAGGGCTTGAGGGCTTTAGGGCTTCAGGGCTTGAGGGCTTTAGGGCTTCAGGGCTTCAGGGCTTCAGGGCTTCAGGGCTTCAGGGCTTGAGGGCTTTAGGGCTTTAGGGCTTCAGGGCTTCAGGGCTTTAGGGCTTCAGGGCTTCAGGGCTTCAGGGCTTTAGGGCTTCAGGGCTTGAGGGCTTTAGGGCTTTAGGGCTTGAGGGCTTTAGGGCTTTAGGGCTTCAGGGCCATTCAGGAGTTGGGGTACAGGAATTGGGGTTTTCGTGCTCCGCGTTCAGGGCCTCGGCGGTTCAGGGGTTCAGGCTTGGCGTAGTTCTGTGCCTTGAAAAAGCTAGGGGTGTGATGCTCGGTTCGTGGTGGGTCTCAGCCCAAAACCCAGAACCCCACTTCTCCATGAACCTGCAATGCCCCTAAAAGCCACCTCTAACAGCCTAAACCCTAAGCCCTCAACCGGAAACCCTAAACCCTAAACCCTAAGCCCTAAACCGGAAACCCTAAACCCGAATCCCACCCCAAACCCTAAACCCCAACCCTAAACCCTAAAATCCTGAAACCCACTTCCCAGCACCGGCCTGTTCGCCGCTTCTTCGGCGATGGGGCCTGGGTGGTCGTGGCCTGGGCCTCTTCCTCCTCGGCGGCTGCCTTCAGGGATACTCAGATTGCAGCACCCTAAACCCTAAACCCCAAACCTAAACCCTAAACCCGAAACCCTGCATCTGCCATCCAGCAACGACATGTTCATGGGCAAGTCCTAGAAACCCCCAATATGTTGTAAAATAACTATCATGGGGGCTATCCAATATTAGGGGGTAGGGGGGGGGGGGTTTATTGGGGGGAGCGGGTTACTGGGCCCCCCCTTGGGCTCCCCCAAGAAGGCATATTGTTCGGTCTCTTCAGACTCCCTCATCTGTAGGGCCTTGGTTTCAGGGCTTTAGGGCTTCACCATTTTGAGGGCGATGAGGGGGATCGAAAATCCGTTGGAGATTCGTTTACGGATTCTACTTTAAGGGGGACCCCATCTATTGGAAGCTCTCCTCTGCATCTTCAACAAGGAATGTTCCTTATGTTCAATTCCAAAAGCCACCCCCCAAACCCTGAACCCGAAACCCGAAACCCTAAACCCTAAACCCTAAACCCCAAACCTTCCTCCACGACAAAAAAAAAAAGCTTTCAGCGTGGGACGGCCTCCAAGTCCCTCTCGAGGATGGCTTGGCAGGATTGCTTCTCCTGCAGGGGGTTCATGAGGCTTCGGTTTAGGGTTTAGGGTTTAGGGTTTAGGGTTTAGGGTTTAGGGTTTAGGGTTTAGGGTTTAGGGTTTAGGGTGTAAGGCTGAGGGTTTAGGGTTTAGGATTTAGGGGTTAGGGTTTAGGGTTTAGGGTTTAGGGCTTAGGGGGTTGTAGGGCTTCGGGGCCTCATATGATGGTTTCCGAAATTCGGTGGTGCCTTCTTGGGGGCCCTTGTTTGAGGGAATCCTACAATTTGGGGGTCTATATTAGGGGGGGTCCCTTGTTTTCGTAAGCCCCACATACTGTTGTGATAGTGCTTAGGGCTTATACGGGCTTCCAGGGCTTCGGCTTCCCGAGCTAAACGACCAGGGCCTTGATCGAGTGGTAGCCGAAGAGATCTTCGGCTGTGTGGCTGTACACGCCATAGAAGGGCCCGTACCTTGGCCACCCCTCCAAAGCCACCGCACAAGGCACTGCTGAGGAGAGGGCTGGGAGGTTCCCCCTTCAACTAGAAACCACCCAAACTCCCCAAACTCCCCCCTAAACCCCCCCCCCCCCAAAACCCCCCCCCAAAACCCCAACCCCCTCCCCAACACCCCCCCCCCCCCCCCAACAAAACCTCCAACCCCCTTGACAGTGGCAGAGCGGCAACCTGCAAGAGCGGTCGCTCAGGCCCTGGGCTGAGCACATGGAGTTGAGGAAGTCCTGGCGAAGGGGGGTTTAGGGTACGGGGGGACAACCAAGGAAGGAAATCAACTCCCCTAATCGCCCTGAACTTATATTTCCCAGATCGAACCAAGAAACAACCAAGAACACGGATAAGAGCAACAAGGAAGGGGCACCCTTACACAAGTAGAGGGGCACTAACCCAACCCTCACTCCCAAACACGGACTTTTTTCTTTGGACGGACTGGCCATCCTTGAGCCAAACATGGTTTACGGGTTCATTAACCCTTTCAACTTCCAACACTAACTCCTTTCTACAATACCAATTGCAGCTCCGCACTCCCCCTGTCCTAGGATTTCCTAGGACACATTGGAGATGCAGGTCTTTTGGCCAAAAACTGCCACTAAGGCAGCAGCCAGCTGCTTGAAATGCAAGTTGTGGTTTAACGTCTTCCAGGACGGAATTATAGCACATTGGCTAACCTACTACCCATAGAGAATCTCTTTTCACCATGATCCTCTCATCACTGAAGACTCCTTGGCCTTCTTCACCACAAACCGTGGTCTTCGCTACGCGAAAAGCTACTGACTTCTACTATCAGGGATTTCCATACCCTTAATAGTAACCACCACATTGTCAGCACATTGGCTGTTCCAGCACACCCGTCTCCAGAAAGAGAAAAACTATCCCTTCATCCATACCATCCAATCACTTCTTTTTCCGATTGTTGGCAATCTTGAGGTGAAGTTGCAGCAGAATATACTCCAGGTCCGAAACTGTAAGAACAGGATCCTGTACGCCCCTTTGAATTGAGGATACCAATCCTTCTCTCTTTGCGTCCTCAATCGCCTGGCAAGATTGACCCAGCTCTTCATTCGCAGTGGCAGACCCTGGTGCATCCGCATCAGATGGACGATCCTTTTCCTCAGGATCTTGCACCATTACCACCTCTTCTTTTTGGGACTCTGACTTTTCTCCCTCTTCTTTGTCTTTCCACCGACATTTGACTTTGTGCGCGTCTTCGAGGATTTTTCCACTGCAGAAGCCACCACATTGGATGTTGATCCACCCTTCTCAATGATCGTCGGCATCTTCTTCGGCTTTGGAACCATGAGAGTGTAAGGATCTTCGATAGCTGCAGCTTTCCTCTTCTTTTTTACCTTTTTCTTCTCTTCTTCAACGGCAACCTCCGTCTCCGAAGTCTCAACCACTCCTTTTTCGGCAGGAATATCCTTGCTGGACTCCCTTTCTAGGGATCTCTTTTTACCTCTTTTGGGATCCTTTTCCTCTCCCAAATTGGCTCGCTCATACCATATCCTCAGGTCATTGACCCATTCTTCCACCTCCGCGAGCGAAACCTCATACGACTTCACTACTTCGAGAAGTTCCAGCACGGACAACATTTCAGTGGTCCACGAAACCCATACTTGATCCATTTGGTCAGCATCTCCAGTGAACTTCAGGAGTTTGAACAATGGGTCCGCCTCTGCTCGAGCCAAATCTGGCTTGCCACCGGAGAGCAATGAAATCGCCTCCATCAACAGTTCCGTCATCTTGGTCTCTTCGTCATAAACCATAAAATCCTCCTCATCATCATCGAACTGTTCAGGAGAGTTCTCCTTTTCTCCACCATTTGCACCAGACTTTCTCCTTGGACCATCCCTTGGGGGCGTCCTTGGAGACCTTGGCCTCTGTTATTCCAACGGAACACCATGCTCGAAGACACACCTGTCACCAAATCGACACTTCCCAGACCGAGCAAACTGGACGCACCTCACACCAGTTGCATCATGCGAGAACCCCCAATCCTTTCCAGCGAAACATTCTCTCCCTGCCACATAGTATTTGCACCAATATGAATGTAGCACCACATCATCTTCGGAATGGATGAATTTGCAGTCGTCACCGAATTTGCAGCGATCTTTCCCCCTGCCGAACCAATAGCAGAAACCCTTCTTCCTCTTCTCCAAGCGCTCTGCCTCATACCGGTCCATAGGGCGATTGTGCTCTACATGAACATTGCCATGTACCTGGGGACTGCTCCCTTCACCCGACGTGCTATCAGTATTTGGTGCTTGGAGTACAGCTGGAAAACCTGGCCTTGGTCCTACCACCTTCATGATCGGTTTTCCGCCAACTCCTTAGCCATGCTGAGACGATCCAAAAACATTGAACATCTTCATGAAGGCCTTTCTAGTGCCAATCTTCTGCACCCTTTTGATTGGACGTTTCATTGCTCCAACCTTGCATCCAGATGCGTTCAAACGACACAACCTCCTATAACCAACTCTATGTCCCTTCTTCCAAAGAGCCATAAGAATTTTAGAGGCAGTAACATTCTCCACCTCTACCTTTTCCAATGGTCCCTCACTTCCCGGAACAAACCCATCCATATCTGAAGACCTTTCCATCTTTTTTGACACCACTTCGTCGAGGTAGTCTTCCGAGATCCAGGGTAAGTTCCCCTTAGAGGAAGGATTGTCATCATTGTTTGGTCCTTCACCAGGATACCCTTTTGTGCTGTCAAAGATCTTACCAGTAGTGCGGTCCTGCATAGAGAAATTCGAAGCCACGCGGGAGTACACTGACCACAAGAAAATCCTTGTGTCCGCCAGTCTTGATGACCCACTGGATGTCTCCTCTTCCGGAGAAACCTCTGGCGCTTTGCCATCCCCTCCAGTGTCACCACTTGTCTCACCTCCAGCATCTTCAATGGGAATAAGGGATTCATTGTTCCCTTGATCAAGCACCGCACCCTCTGGTCCAAGAACTTCCAGCACCGCTGTCGAAGGATCCACCTCTTCATCAGCATCGTCGTCCATCCTTCTCCAGAGAGCCTCCAATTGGTCCGCACAAGTCGCCGCTTGAAGGAACTCCATCAACCGAGCCCTCCCGCGCTGCCAGAGAAATTCCGAAACCATCACCGACCCTTGGGCTCCCAGATTCAGGAATGGGTGAACCATTTTGGCTACCCTCGCCATAAGTTCAATATGAACTTCCATGCCTGGACTGCGGCTCCAATCGTAGGCAATTGCCTCCATAGCAGTTCCAAACTTGTCAGTATTCTTGAATTCCCCTTCCAGACCAGGAGACAACAAGGCACCCATCACTGAAAGAGGATAATTCCCCACCGCCGGCAAGCACGGGTTGTCATGGAACGAATGATGCAGGTCAGTATAATGTCCTTGATCTCTCCTTTGAAAAAGGAGTGCTCCAGTCCCTAGCTGGGCATTCATTTCATCCACTTGAACCATTTCAGCACATATCCTCTGTGCCATATACGCCATTGCTGGCCAGACGGAACGATCGGTAAGACCGCGACGCATAACCCAATCAGTTGTTGGCGACTGAATCAGCGTCCTTGGATCATACACCAGAACAACCATCGCACCGTCACCCATTGACTGATCAGCATCGTCCTCCAGTGCCAGGTTCTCATCCTGTTCGCTTGCACCCTCGGATGACATGCTAATAACCAAATTTCGATCCATCTTATTGGACCCTTTTTGGCAGTCCCACCGGCAACTTGCCAACTGCAACCTTCCAATAAATCCGAGTCAGAAGGCCTTTAACCAGCAATTGCTGAAGGTCACTCCTCACCGGACCACCATCCAACATCTTCGCATCATCACCACGGAGGTCATTGCTCCCACCTTCTCCTTCTTTTTGGTCAGTCTCCTCGCCAGAAATCTGTACTGCTCCTTCCGGCGCCGTCTCCTGTCCAGCCACTTCTTGCCCAGGAAGAACTTGAGCGCTTTCAGAGACATTCACCTGTCCAGCAACACCTTGCCCAGGTAAAACCTCATCCGTGGAGCCCACCGCCAGCAAACCAACCATAACTGAACCATCCCTTGCTCTTTTTTGAGACCGTTCAGCTCGACGAGAAGGTTGTGGTAGCGAAAAAACTTGTGAAGTCACTTCTTGGCGGGTCTCCCCCCGCGACGCTTTGTCGCGCCCTTCGCCAAGGTGAACCGATTTTTTCGGCCCGTCATTGGAGCCTGAAGAACCACTTCG